TTGTAGAGATGAGGTCTCGCCAAGTTGCCCAGGCAGGTCACGAACCCGCGGGCTCAGGCAATCCACTCACCTCAGCCTCCCAAAGCACGGGATTACAGGCTGAGCTTTTTTTTTAAAGCAAGATTTATTGAGAGGACAGAAAAGCTCCCACAGTGGGAGGGGACCCAAAGGGGTTGCCCCACTTTTTATTTATTTATTTATTTATTTATTTATTTTTGAGTTGGGGTCTTACTCTGTCACCCAGACTGGAGTGCAGTGGTATGATCTCAGCTACTGACAAGGTTTCGCCATGTTGCCCAGGCTGATCATGAACTCCTTGGCTCAGGCAGTCTTCTCACTTCAGCCTTGCAAAGTGCTGGGATTACAGGCGTGAGCTACTGCACCTGGCTTAAGATTTGTTCACTTATTGCAGTTTGTTTTTTTAAAAAGTAATTATAAATGTATTCTATCAGTAGAGTTTGAAAGGTAAGAAATTTCTCCTATGAGGCAAAGGAGTGGATTTCAGGGAACAGATTAAATATCTAGTCTTATATTTCATTTGTTAAAAATTAAGCATTTAATTATTTTTTAAATAATAATGATGGAATCTTGCTGTTGCCCAGGCTAGTCTTGAACTCCTGGACTGAAAGAGTCCTCCTGCCTTGACCTCCCAAATGCTGGGACTACAGGCATGAGCCACTGTGCCCAGACTAAAAATTCTTATTTACATTTCTTCTTTCCAGAGCATGTGTAGTAAGTTTCTCAGATCTGTTCATTTTTTAATGTTTTGTTGGGGACTGCAAATGAAATTTCAGGGCTTAGTTTTGGGAATGCCATCAGAGAAGGGAAATAGGGAAACACTCTCTTCCATTATGGCTGCAGAAAAATGAACACATTTCCACAAACAAGTGTGGTTGATAAATTGGTGAAAGATTTAACCAAAAATCAGTTCCTCTTCTTTGCAGGGCAGAGAATGTGTGACAGTGGATAACTGTTTATAAGGTTAGGCTGGGTCGACACCTAGAAGAAGGAGAGAAACTTAAGCAAAATTTGGTTAACAGGTATTTTGACTGGTCACTGGACATAAGATTTTTTTTTTTTTGAGTTAGAGTCACACTCTGTCACCCAGGCTGGAGTGCAGTGGCATGCTCACAGCAACCTTTACCTGCTGGACTCAGGCGATCCTTCTGTCTCAACCTTCCAAGTAGCTGGAACTCGCCCTACCACGCCCAGCTCATTATTTATTTATTTATTGAGAGATGAGGTCTCACAAAGTTGCCCAGGCTGGTCTTGAACCCCTAAGCTCAGGCAATCCTCTCGCCTCAGACTCCCAAAGTGCTGGGATTATAGGCTTGAGCCACCGCACCTGGCTAGGTGGTTTTTCCTGGGAGCCTCCCCATCAATTGTCCCAGCTGCTCACAGCAGCCATTGGAGGAGCCCTTTATACTAAGAGAAGTTCAGAGCACTGGAAAGCTGGGAACCCACAGACAGTGATGCCCTGTATGGGGTTGTAATTGTTATTGTCCTGTTTCTAGACGTTTTTGATGGAACAAATCTGGATATAGACAAGGTTTATATATTCATATAGTATAGTACTATATGGTCTTATTCTTCATAGTATAGTGGTTTTCAATTCCATGCCAGCTCACAGAATTATTCAAACAAGCTATCACCATCCTTCCATGAGAACAAAGGAGCAAGTCACTCTCTTGATACTGCAGAGTGTGCCACCCACAAATCTTCATGAGTTTGGAAAAAGATTATTTGATATGACAACAAGAACACTAGGAATGAAGAAAAAGTATAGTGGTTTTGACTTAATCAAAACTGATAACTTTTGTCCTTCAAAGGACACCATCAAGTTGAAAAGACAATCCATCAATAGAAGAAAAACTTGTGAATCCTATATTTGTCAGGGACCTGCACCCAGAAGCAACTGGAACCTCAGACCCACCATCACACAGAGTGGGGCTGGATCAGCAGCAGGACTCCCAGGCATCCTGTCCCATCACTGCAGGAGGGAACCTTGGCCCTGGAGTCCTCTCTGGCAGCTGTGCTCCTGTGGTCCTGAATCTCACATTATGGGGTGACTACGGAGAGTGATCATCGGGAGAGAAATCTAACCTGGTGTTTTGGGTTGGGGGGGTACTTT